AGCCCGGAAACAGAAGTTAGAAATGTGGGGACATAAAAAGGATAAATGTTAAAATGGAGATTTATTAAAGTAGATAAGTTAAATATTATTGTTTTTATAGTATTAATGTTATTGTGATGAATACTATTGTAAACATTTTGATTATGATTGCCTAAAAACAGTTGTACCCAGACAACACACTGTTTAATGGAAATTGATTTTTTATATGTTATATAAATAAAATAAATAAAATATGGTGGGGGAAAGTTGAGCCCGGGGTGCTTCAGGAGAGTAAGGAACCTGGTGCAGGCTGCACATGAGGGTCCCTCCCTCAGGAGCTGAAAATCTTGTTTGAATTTCAGCAGGGAGGATTTTCAGCTCCTGAGTGGACCCACCCACTTACCCTGCGGAATCCTGTGTTCCTTACTTTGGGAGCCTTATCTGCTTAACGACCTGCACAGTAACTTAATGAGCACTACCAGGAATGCCAGGATTGTGGCCATTGAGCAAAGTCACCTGACATATCACTTAACGACCATTTCGTTCCATGACCTAAATTCCAGGTTCGATTGTGGTTGTAAGTCAAGGACTACCTGTAGTGTGTTTTTTAACTGGCCAAATTGCCAGCAAATTACCCTTGGAAAATGATTCTCAGGCAAATGTTCTGCTAATTGTTAGCTACCCCAAGTAACGATTGGACAAAGATTTCTACATCAAATTTCTACATCAGTCTGATATCTTCTAACATGTACAAGAATAAAAATGGCCAACCATCCCTATGCGTGTTATTATCATAAGCATCTCAGCTGCACTGTAAACCCATTTTAGCATGTTTTTGTAAAAGGATATGAAACTTAACCTGCTGAAAGGTTCTTTCTGAAGACCAGGTAATTGCTTGTCCTACAAGCATGATAAGCATCATCCCTGGTCTGTGTCAGTCTATGACTAGCCTAATGCTCCTGCTTGCATTGTTGTTGCCCCAGCAGTTTCATTAAGATGTTGATTTTGTCCTTTGAAGCAAGAAGTACTTTTATTGTTTCTCTAAAATAAGCATGTTAAAATTTTATACTTTGCTCCCTAACCAAAAAAAGAAAAAAGGAATAGTAAGTTGGTCTTGCCCTGGAAATAAATTCCTGTCATTTGCTGCATTTCTGCTCGTATCATATCATATCATACCACCCAAGATTTATTTGCGAAACAAAGAACCGAAATGCCTGCCAGGATGCTTGACTGATGATGTAATCTACAATTGGCACAAACCTTTCCTGGGGTCTGAATCACTGAATATGTATCTACATTGCAGAAGGCTGTTTTATTTTGTTTTGTTTTTTACTCCAGCCTTAGGGTGACTTCCGACTAGATTCTTCCTTTTGTTAAATTTCACTGGCAGTTTACTTACCTGAAATATTTTTGCTTTTGCTTTTGTTCACAACTAAAAAATATATAGACATTTCTAGTGAATATTATGGATGCACTGACTTTAATGCTACCAAATCACTGACCAGAGATGTACCAATAGGAACAATACATTCATAAATAAAGCTATTTTATAGCCAGTGAGGAAGCCTGATGTTAATATGGCTGATATTTAGATTTCTAACCATCCTCTAAAACCTTGCTCATGGGCTCAGAAATCATATGGCATTTAAAAATAAAATGTAAATTGGAACCAAGGTGGATAAAAATCAATGATTTTTTTAAAAAAAATCAAAAAAAATCAGATTTTTTTTTATTTAAATCGGATTTTTTTTATTTTTATCAAATTTATTTTAATAAAAAACTTTTGTTGTAAAAATCTATCGTAAGATAGTTTTCTATTTAAGATACATAAATAATTTAGTTTATTCAGCATGAAATGGAGCTTAGTTATGTAGCATGAGGCGCTATATTCTGCAACACTGGGACTATCGGTGAGTCAACAGTGGGTCAAAGGAGTAGCAGAGATGACAGTTGCTCTTTAAAAATTATGATTTAAATCGAGTTGATTTAAATCAAGCCTTCTTACTAGTGATTTAAATCATGATTTAAATTGTGATTTAAATCAACTCGATTTAAATCAAATCCACCCTGATTGGAACCCAAACTTATTCAACTCGCTGATTGAAAGTGGGAGTTTAACTTGTCTGGATTATTGTCTATATAGGTTCTGAGCTGTGAGAACTGAAAACTGTTAAAAATTACCTGTGAATGGGGTGTGGAACTAACAGTCTCCCAGTTTCTAACCTGGTACCTTAACGACTATATACCAAACTTGTTTCCTAATATATTGATTAATGTAGGCCCTGAATGGCTGAACAACTGTGATAGTACTGAAGCCCAGGACACAGAGGTGGATAGAACAGCATGTGACCCCTGCTATCAAGGGGGAAGAAGGAAGGAACCCTTATTTAACCCAACCTTTTGGGCACTGGGGACTGGTTCTGTGGAGAGAGGTTTTTCTTCTGACTGGACGGGATGTGATTTTGCATGCTACCTGCATCCCACGATTGGGGCTTTGCTTGTTTGCGCAGACTGGTTTCTGACATGCCATGGAGTTGTATCGGTCTATGGACCAAGGGTTGGGGAACCCCCTGATTTAAGCCACTGGCTATTCGAAGATTAGAATTAAATACAGAAGGAATTGATTTTAGTTTGCTCACAGCATATATGCAGAGACATTGTTATCAGCTGGCTTCTCTATTAATATTTAGCTTTGAGTTTGTTTTTCTTTTATTAAAAGCAATGTTTTTCATAGAATGCAAATTGATTGCTGTGTGTGTCAATATTGTTTGTGTTAGTAATTTTATTGGGCTTTACTTGTCAGTTTATTAAAGTCATTAATGATAGTATGTACCAGCTCTGCAGATAGATTTAGCTTTGGAAGTCTCTATCTCTGAAGGCTGCTTTGTAATTTTTAAGATATATATGTCGTAGATTGCACTATTTTAAATAGGGCATCAAGGACTTTTGGGAGCAGGCACTTTTGAAAATCATTAATATATCCAGTAGTTGGATCTGAAGCTCCGACTGATGATTTAGTTGTTCTGTTTTATGTTTTAGCGCATAGTCTACAGTATTGCTATCGTACTGGTGTTTTTATGACCAGAATCAGATTATATTATAGTTTCATTCTGTTTTTCTGCTTATTTATACATAATGCTCATAGTTTTCTTTTACAGAATTTGGCTGCAGTAGAATGCCTGTTCTCAAAACTATGAGCAAAGCATTCCAGTTTTGGCAGTATTCAGGCATAATCTTGAAAACTAGTCAGGAGTGGTATTTCAGTAACTCACGTGGCTTCCCAGAGGTTAAAAAGCCATTCCAGCAAAACCATCTTGTGCTACAATGATCATTCGTTGGCTGAACATGATGATCAGAGTCTGCAGATCATTGGAAGGGATCCAACAATAGGATATTACAGCCTGTGACTCAGCTCTGAACACTCACGCCTGGATGTAGAAGGCAATCAGTTCCAAGCATGATAAGCAATGTCATTTGGATCAGGAAAAAAAAGTGAACGTAATCTTAAATATGCTCTATGTTGCTTTGATTGGGTAATTTTATTTAATCAAGATCTGTGTTTATAATCTTGCATTATTTCAGTGCACATTTTTAGAAGTAATAAGATACTGGTAATATATTGAAGCGCATTATTGCCCTATGCAATTTGAATAAAGGTCTCTTTTGGGATTCCAGAGAATTAACTTTAATGAATTATCACCTTAACTCTGAAGAAAATTCAGTAAGAATTACTAACGTTGAAGTGCTGAAAGTTGAATAGTTTAAAAAGATTTGAAAAAAGAAAAAAGAGGTACAATAAGCCACCTTCATCCCAAGCATGTGAGAAAGAAGAATAGTGGATAAGCCTGCTAAATGTTTTAGCTCTAGAGCATGGGTGTCAAACTTGCCATGTCACATTGTCGTCACGTGACATTTTGCAACTTTTTACAACCTTTCTTGCCTCAGTTGTTTAGTGACTCACTGCAGTTGATAAGTTAGTAACCCAGTTGTTAAATGAATCTGGCTTCCGCATTGACTTTGCTTGTCAAAAGGTCGCAAAATCACTTGTCATGGGACACAGCAATAGTCCTAAATATGAACTAGTTGCCAAGCATCTGAATTTTGATCACATGATCATGGGGATGCGGGAAAGGTCATAACTGAAAAATGGCCATAAGTCACTTTTTTAAGTGACGTCATAATTTTGAACAATCACTAAATAAATTGTTGTAAGTCAAGGACTACCTCTACTCCTCCTACCCTGTTTCCCTCAAAATAAGACATCCCCTGATAATAAACCCAATTGGGCTTTTGAGCGCATGGCAGTTAGGCCAAACGCTTATTTCAGGGTTCAAAAAAATATAAGACAGGGCCTTATTTTCGGGAAAACACAGTATTTTCCTCATAACAACAACTCTGTGAGGTAGGTTGGTCTCTCTCTCTCTTTCTCTCTTCCCCCCCGTGCATACGTACACACAGAGAGAGAGAGAGAGAGAGAGAGCTATCTATCTATGGTAGATATATAGATAGCAGGTGAATATATATATTCACCAAATATATTTAGCAGGTGATCTGATGGGCATAAACCTTGAATACTTGGAATCCAAATTCTAAAGAGACCAACTGCAGAAGAATAGACAAGTGCTTTGAACATCAAAGGTGTTGCAGACTATATAACATTCAGTAAGAAAAATATATCTTCGTGTATCATTACTTTTTTGTGTGAATAAGTACACAGAATATCTTGAAAACAACAATTCTACGGCTTGTTTCCATTTATAAAATGTTTGAAAAAAAAGATTATTCATGGTTATGAACTGGCAGTCTTAGCGTGCTTTAAAATAAAAATATTCTACATTTATAAACTCATTGTTCCCAATATTTTATCAACTTTACTATTGCAAAGTTATTTTCTTCTTCTGTTGTGAAAGCTTAGTTACTGTTACATTGGAAGACATGGAATATTCTCAACCTTTGTTCCTGTTGTTGATTAATTACGATTTTTTTTGCCAGCAAAGCAACCCATTGTCTTTTCTTAACAGTGCTTGGAAGAGTTCATCAAGAATGTCTAGCAAAACGTCTGGCACCACAAACAACATAGCTCAAGCAAGAAGAACTGTTCAGCAGTTGAGAATAGAAGCATCTATAGAAAGGATAAAGGTTAAGCATAATATATTTTCTTGTTATGAACTATGTGGTTATTATTTGAAGTGTGTTCTCCCGTCTCTCCTCTTATGTTTTAAAATGCTTTTTAAAAAATCAAGCAAGTTTAAGAATTGCTCTAAAGTGATTGGAATACGGCATTGGGAGTTTAGTATATTTTGCTAAATGAAACTTCAAGGTGCAATACAGTTAGATACATGCAATAGACACACATTTGGAGATGATGTTGGTCAGTCACATAAATCATAATGTAATGTTGACCTTGTTCTGTTCAGCTTTCAAAAAGTTATCCTGCTGACTTCCAGAGAAACAGAGTCCCAAGACTCTTAACACAATTTCTCTACAACCTTTTTTTGGATTGGAAAGTATAAAAAGGATAAATACAAAGGAATAATATAGACAGTGAATTGGAACTGTAGAGCTAGTTTCAGGAAAGTGAAATGTTAGAATAAGAAATCAAAGGAAAGAATCCCAAGAAGAACAAAAAGGCCTATTAGGTATATTCAAAATAAAAAGAAAAATATTAGTATATATTCAGTGTTAGCAGAATGCTAAGAAAAAGTTACAGTTACTCAAATTCTATTTTGATGCAGCTTTCTCCAGTATATGTGTGTACACGCATGTGTGCATACACACACATACAGTATACACACATATACATACACACATATTATATATATATATATATATATATATATGTGGTCCATGTGGTCCACTTGGAATTGTGAAGAACAGGAGGCAGTGGCGTAAATGAACCTTAAACAGATTTATTGCAAGGTAGAAATTCATTGCAGTAGGAATTAACTGATGATCTAGTCAAAATTCTCACACATTTTTCAAAATCAGAAAACAGAAAACACAGAAAGCAAAAAATCCAGCAAATTACAGATCAATCAGTCTGCCGTCAATTCTATAACAAATCATAAGCACTTGTCAACACCTTGGAAACAATGATAAAAACATCAACAGGGATTTGGCAAGAATGAGTCTTTGCAGACAGAGGATAATCTCTTTTTTGATCAAGCAAATTCCATAATAGATTGTGGGAATGCTGTAGGCTAAGGATGTGCATGAAATGAAAAATATAGTTTGTTAACCTGATATACACTCTTCCATTATGGAAGTTGTGCCAAACTGGTTCGGTGAGTCATGCTTTGGCAAAAACAAAATCCAGAATACTTTGGTAGTTGGGTTTCAACCAAAAAAAAAGTAGGAGGGATCACAGAGTGATTTTGATAAGGCAAATTGGGAAAGGTTGATACATTTAATCCTGTTTTCGTACCTCCTCTGCATGGTTTGTATGCTGGCCTGACTGCCTTTTGATCTTTTGAAAGGTTTGGTTTGAGTACAGACCATTGAAAGCCAGCTGTCCTATGCAGGGAACAGTTCATGCATGGAGGATACTGTATATTCTTCCTGTAGACATACAGGTAGTCCTTGGTTAATGATCACTTTTAATGTGATATATAAGTGATAATAAATCACTAAACACTAATTTAGTGACCTTTTGAAGTTGTGACACTGCCTGAATGAGTGGTGGTAACAACCAGTCCTTTTAACTTCCAACTATCCCCCCACTCGTACAGTCACATGATCACAATTGGACACTTGGGAACTGACTTGTACTTACAAGAGTTGCAATGTCCTATGCTTATGTGATCACCATTTGTGACCTTCCCTGGCAGCTTCCCACAAGCAAAGTCAATAGGGAAGCCAGCAAGTCACAAGTTGCTCTGGTAAGCCTCTCTCTCCCACACATCCTTCCCAAGCCTCACTGCACTTGCATGGTACCTCGACCACTCGCACACTCTCATGCAGCCTTTCCCCTTGAAAGCAGCAACTCCAAACCCTGACATGCTTCAGCCGCCTCTCCCTGGCCATCCATGCACCCCCCTCACTCCCTCTCAACCCAACAGCGGCCATTTATCTGTCTCCCTGCCTGCTTGCAAGCCACCTGAGACTAGCAACTTCCTGCTGGCTGCCCCATTGACTTGGTTCATTAGGAAATTGCAAAGAGGGGCCTCACTTAACAACCCACAATTCCCCTTAATAAAGGCAATGGAGGTTGCCACTGCTAAATGATGTGACCATGTGATCTTGTACTTTACGTCTGCATTACTTAGTGATGGAAATTATGGTCCAGTTTATAATTATAGCTGTAATATATTTTGACGTCATCAAAAGCATTTGACAGGCCGATTAGCAAGCTGGTTAAGTATAGGTTGGATGGATGGCATGATAATTAAATCGATACATAACTGGTTCAAAACACAAATTTGCAGGCATGTTTATCAATTGCTCCTGAGCCAATTAGAGGAAGGAATCAGTCCTGGATCTTCTATTCTTTGTTATTTTCAATAATGACATGGGTGAAAAAGTAAAGGGCATACTTAACAAATCTGCAGGTGACCAAAAATTGAAGGAACAATAATTTAATAAACCCATATCAATTGCATAAAGATAAGCTGTGGGGTACTTGGTTTAGTAAGAGTAAAAGTAGTCCTCAAATTATGACCCATCGCTTAGCAACCATTCAAAATTCTGATAGATTCCTTCAGAGGTACTTACAACACAATTCCAAAGTGTCAATGGCCACACAAACACATCCCAATGATCATGCGACCACATGTTGGGAGTTCTCTAACTGGACCACATTTGCAGTCGTTTGCACTGACTTGCAGTCATATGACCGTGTTTTACTTCTGGTTTTTGACAAAAACAGCCCATACAAGCTCAATGAGCTCACTTTATGACTGCAATGTTTGCATAACTGCAGTGATCTGCTTTACTACTTTCATGACTTACAACCATAATGGGCAAGTTCCATTACGGTCATAAGTCAAGGACTACCTGTATTTGCAAAGACAATGGAATAGTAGTTGGTTACAAATTAAATACAAGTCAGCAGGCTACCAAAACAGGCAAATACAGTTAATAAAAATATAATTTCGAAATTACAGAAAGTAGTAATCATTGTTCTGCTTTGTTCAGACCCAATTACAAGTACTGTGCCATTCTCTAGCCATTTGTAGGAAGCTGCTGTCAAGATGTATTAGATTATATCTCGGTTGTATCTTGATCAGCATTGGTCATAGAGCATCAGGGCTGTGATTTCTTTGTAGAAGATAAGAATGCTGTAAGCATTCCCAGACTTGTGTATGTGATGTGAAGAATGTGTACGTGAAGAAAAGAAAATGAAAAGTAATGCATACCTACTTTTAATCTCATATCAAGCTTCTTAGCAATTAACCCTGTACCACCCTTTGGGACTTGATGACAAATAAAAAAGTATTAAAAAGCATAAACATAAATGTGGCTTCTCTTTTTGCAATTTGTTTATTTACCACTAAAACCTCATTCACAAACAAAAGCTAAAAGACAGCAAAGTATTTTTTGTGTACACAGGCACATATTCAATGAATGTATATTGAAATTCACTTTATTAAAAGAAGCTTTTTGGAAAATTTATAATTCTGCATCTTTTTTCCTCTGCAGGTGTCGAAGGCATCAGCAGATCTAATGTGTTATTGTGAGGAACATGCCAGGAAGGATCCTTTACTAATGGGCATACCTGCTTCAGAAAATCCCTTCAAGGATAAAAAAACCTGCATTATTCTATAGGCAAAGCAGCAAAATGCCTTCAAAACCTTCCCCTGCAAAACCCAACCTAGCCAATTCTTAGAGAAGTAACCTGAAGGTCACCTGGTAGCCATTGCATAAAACAGCAACTTATTTCCACCTTGTGTATGAATGAACTTTTAAGTTTCCTTGAATGTTTGTTTCTCCCATCCTTAATGCCAGGCACACAGTTCTAAAAGTTACTTCTTGCAAAAATGGAAAGGGTTCTACAAATGTTGTTAGGCATGGATTCTGTTGGCTTTGCTGGGCTGGGCTGGGCTGGGCTGGGCTTGATTTTAAAATGTAGTGAGCATTCACAGATCCAAGGATTGAACTATCAAGACCAAAGTTGCCTGAGCTTCATTTACAGAGTAGTGAGGTAGACAAGCCTAGAGTGCTAATCAAGCTTTCTTTTGCATTTGATTTGATACCAGTGTGTACCTTGTATATGTAAATGGAGTCTATATCTAGGGTGTATGCATTTGTTCGTTTAGATGTATAGACACATTCCAAAGTGCATTCTTTAAATGCACTCTTCAGAGTTCATTGCTGCATTTATTGATAGGATTTCTGCACTTCATGCTTTCACTATTTAGTATATCTTAAGCTTTCAACAATGTCTTAAAAACCTACACATTTGTACATAGTATAAATTCTGGTTCTCAACATAGCTTTGAAAAGTGATGTCTATTGCCTTTAAGCTATCTTTTATTTTCACTGAAATGTAGACTACACTAAATTCAGATTGATTGTGATAATGGTGTCTAAAAATTTCTCCTCCCTTTCTTTTTGTCTTTAAGAGGAATTCTGTCCTTTCCTTTCCTACAGTTTCTAAAGAACTGATTTTTGGAAGCTTTCAGGCTTTTTTCAGTTTGATTCCCAAATTTACATTTCATAAATGTCAAACAATCACTAAGTAGGAAGAGAAACTCTGAGTGAAATCTATGGTGCTACTGCTTCTGCACAAGACCTATTAAAATCAATGGTTGTGCTAAATGAATGCTTGAAGGATTATAGCAATTCTGGGCAGCAGCAGCTAATCCCTTGTATATGTTAACATTATTAAAGAATTTGGGTACTGTTCATGCAGTAATTAGATACTGAATGAAAGAAGCAACACCGATACATTTTAAGCCAGGGGTATGTATCTGTATTCTATTTGTTTGGCCTTTTAATTTTTATAGTAGTATTGTGATCTGCCATAGCTCTGTATTTTGAAGGTGGGTTAATTGTAGCTTTTTGTTGTTGTTCCATATGTAGAGGCCCTCGGATGCATGGTTAGATTTCCTTCATAGAAACTTTAGTAGAGAATGCAAAGCCAACCATTAGTGCTCACCCAGAAGCATTCATTTTCAAGCAGCCAAGGGACACCCCACAAAGATTTCTTCCTGTTAAGAAGACCTAGACTTCCATAGTGTTTGTATCTGCTTGGTGACAGCTTAACGCATACTTGGTTTCACCGTAACTGTATTGAGAAGCTAGCTGCAGAGCTGGTAAGCCAAAGTCCCTACCCAATTTACTGGTGCTCTTCACGGCATTATAATCAAGCTCTTGCGGAGAACTGTATTAGTGCTGCATGCTGCTGTGTTGATACTGTATTTTTTTTTGCCTTCATGTTCCCAAAAGATAAATTTAACACATTTAAAAAACTAAAATAGCTTCCTAAAGATAGTACGGAACTGATAACAAAACCAGAATTTTGCATTAATTTTGCTTATTTTATGTCAGTCTGGCCATCACATAATCAACATACAGTTCATTAGATTACCTGGAATTTGGTGCCATTTTAGTTGCTATCATAATTTAAAACAGTGTCTTTTCTGATATCAAGTCTTAAGTCCCTGTCCCCAAATTAACACAGATGACTTATCTTTTGTTTTGTTTTAAGATATTGGGCAACGTTTGATTTGTCAGCTATATAAATCTGCTTTATAAAGGATGATCCTTGCAACAGTTAGTCGATGGCAACAACAACATGGGTTAATTTGCATTTCTGTTAAATGTAGTGAACCAGACAATAGTTAGGCTTGTGTTATAATCTTAACATAGGAAGTAAAATCCAGAGGAAAATGTCAACCTATGTTTGACTTTGCTACATGGAAGTGGTTAATTCGCACCATGGTCCTCTGGTGAGATAAGAATGTACAGATCATGTACCTAAGCTCATGCATGATGGCCATAAAGTATTGAAGCTCTCAAGTGTCAGAGTTGATGCTCATTGCAATAAGCCTATAAATGAGGAAAGACTGCATTAGCAGGCCTGTCAACTCTAAGAGAGTCGGTATAATTATTTGTAATGAATAAATTGGTATTGCCATTAGTAAATGGGCACCTGAACATTATATTACTTGTAAAAGCAGAAACTGATGCTGGACGGTTTTTTACCCATCACCAACCCAACCTGTTTCCTACAAATCCTATCCCAAATATCAGTATTTTTTTAAACAATTAGAATGTTGCTCTATTCTACTCATCAGATGAATGCAATTTAAAAAATTCTCAGCCCATTCATCAATTTTATATTTTCATATAAAATTAATATGGTATTTAAATGACTGTGATAATTTTTAATGAATTCAATATATATGTGTGTGTGTGTGTGTGTGTGTGTGTGTCTTTGGTTATTCGGGTTTTCTCCTGCATAAAATTGGAAGTACCTTGGCAATGTTTCGACGAAGTCTCATTCGTCATCTTCAGGCTTGCTCCTAGAAGCACAAGGCTGAAGACACCAGCCTGAAGATGACGAATGAGACTTTGTCGAAATGTCGCCAAGGTACTTCCAATTTTACGCGGGAGAAAACCCGAATAACCAAAGACCTACATACAAATACCCGTGAAAGCCTCAGAAAACATGTTGCAAACACTATTCTGTCACCAGCAAATGCTGCTCCGTATGCTTTAATGTAGAATAAATTTGGACACATTCAGTTACTCTCACTAGTGAGACGTTTAAACTGATTATGATTGCTCCCTGCCTCTCATTTAGGTTCTACTTCATGTAAGATTAAAAGGTCCCTATCCTTAAAATTTAAAATCAGATTATTTATGATAGATGAATCTCTGTAACTTACTTAAATACCCTCAATGATTATCTAATAAATGACGGTTGACTTGTTACATTGTTTAGTCAAAACTAAGATTAGCACTTGGTGATCAGGCATTTGAAAAAATATCCTGCTTAGTAGTCCTCTTGCCTGACAGGAAAGAACACAAACTGGCTAGAGAAGGCATTACCAAAAGAAAAAAGGAAATCTTTAGATGTTGTCTTGCATTTGATGGGTGCCATTAATTTTTTTTCTAATTTTTTCTACCGATCTCTCAGTTCACATTTTTCCAAATTAAGCCTTGCTAATCCTGCTACTTTAGTCTTTTTCAAGTTGCGCTCAGTTCCTGATAACTTTACAGACACATCCATCTAGCTTTGGGGCAGTAATATAGAAGTGGTTTGCCATTGCCTTCTTCCAGAATGTGATCTTTTGTTGTTAAAATCTTACAGTACTTGTGTATTCACCGTGTTGTAGTGTTATAGTAGCACCAGGCCAAAATAGGTTGGATCCAAATATGCCCTTCCATATGTGGGATAAGCTATATTATATCCCCAAAAGCAATGTTTTAGCCTTACCCTAATATGTTTCCAGGAAAAAGGAAAATGAAGAATCCAAGGATCCAATACATGCTTGCAAGGCAGAAAGCCCCCTTTCACAAGTGAGCCGTGCTGATAGGACATACATAAGAGACCATTCAGAGGCTATAATGTCTCATGGTTTATTAAGGAATAACCACTATTCATTATAATGGGGCTTATTTCTGAGTAAGCATGTATAGCGTTGTACGATACAAGCAAAGATAGTTCTCTACATGTGCCAGAGGAAGCATAGGAAATGCTATGAACTTGCATCCTAAAGTAGTCTAGAAACTGCTTTCTATGTGTTTGCAGAGCAATGCAAGCAGCAATTCGATTTATGCTGTGGTGCTTTGGATCCAAACCAATATTTTCACCAGCAGTGCTTTAAATTTTTATCATTCATATGTATTTTACGAACCGAAGATAATTATTGAAAACACGGTGTTCTAAACTGCAGATGTTTTCATTTGAGCCAAGTAAAATGTGCCAACTTCCATTTATGAATGCATTTTGACTTCCCCTTGAAAGGATCATGGGTCGTCAACCTGACTCTCGTTTGGTTTCTTGTATTGATTGAGATGTAGCAGTTTTCAATCAAAGCAACAATAAATTCAGAACCAAAATGTAACTAGCTGCTTTGGGTTATTTCTCTCCAAGTTTAAGTTGTTGCTAGATGCCTCCTCACCCTTCACCAGCTTTTCATAACTTTTTTTTTAATATATTGAGAGTTGAAACATTCACACTTTGCTTGTGTGTAATGGTGATACCTCAACAAGAAACTGAGAACATTGCCTTCATATCTATTGCCTTGGATTCACTTCAGTGGGACTTGCTGCAGTGATGCTTAGGTTAATGTGATTAACAGAATAGGGGGGAAAAATGAACACCTAATTTAAAATAGTAACTCCTACACTATTGTGAAGTTTGAAATTAAGAGTATGAAACTTAATAAAGAGTTTTTAGTCATTGTACCACTAACCTCCACCTTGGTGCTTTGATTGAAACATCACGGAAGAAAAATAATACTGTATTCTAGAAACATGCTGTTCTTTATTTATCCCTTTTAAATATAATAGTAAACTACTTTATTTCTTACAGACGATCTTCTTCTCTGGTTTATTTTTTGTTCTCACAAAATTGTTTTTGTATTATCACTGTAATGTTGCATTGAAAAGAATAATACCATGATTTGCCTTTGAAGTAAAAAAAGAATGCATGAAATTACTTTAATAGTTTTGTTTTATCTTTCATAAACAATCTGTAATTGTTTGCTTTCATTGTACCTCTCTATACAATGTGATTGCTCTTGGAAGGTGGTTTCTTGCAAACATTAGAAGGGTTAAAAACTGTAAAGATTCCTTTTCACAGCTAATATATTTAGTATCATGGATATAAAATACTTTAATTAAATATCACTTCTTTTCATATTGTTTTCTGCCTATCATTGCAGTGCACTGAATTTAAGTGTGTTAGAAATAATACATCACATTAGTTGCATCAGTTAATAAAGACATGACAAATTGATTTGAGTTGGGCATGTAACTGCGATCACATTCTGCTGCTATTGATACAATTATTGTTTTAAGGCATCAGTTGGAAAGCCAAGGGGTGACCTCTACTTTTACAGCCTGACTTCACTGAACCGTTTCAGAGGAACACTGAACTGTAAAGACATCTGCACATTCTTTCTTTGCAAATGGTTTGCAAAGCATGTCGACCTTTTAGCTTCAAGAATAGTGAACATATTTCACTTTGATTCTGCATGCTCTATCCTGAAGAGATAATTATGAATAACAAGAATAGCATTTGCCATAGTCAGATTCTATTCAACAATGTGGCGATAATCCTCGTAATACCATAGGACTGGTGTAGCAAATCTCCACTCCCTGCCCTCCTTGCTAGGCGATGTTGCATTTGGTATGCTGATGTTTGCTATACTTACGAGGAAAGAAAAAGTGAAGGATAGGATAAGGCCCATAGAGCTCTCCACCACTCAGAATATCTGCCTTTCTATTGGTAGGTAGTTCTGCTGTGGATCTGTGACGGGTAAACTGCATGTTAGATGTTCACCAGCCCTGTGGAAGCATGAGATCCTTGGATGGGTGGCATATCCCACAAATTCTTCGTTTGACTAGATTCTGCTTAAAGATTAGTGAACAAGGATTTGTCTCACTTCTCATTTCAGATGCCCAATTCTGTTGATTGCTGTTCTTGGCAGCTCCTTTAATATGATCTTCTATCCAAGTTCATGCGCTTATCTGAGGCTACTGAACTCTATATAAAGCAAGGTTGAACCCCTAAGAAAGACATGATTTATAGTTGGGCCATTTTAGAATGGAATACCAAATATTCCCTAAAGAAACTTTCCATTGCCCTAAATGGTACATTTTGGAAACTTGTCTGTGTTGAGCAATGGCATCTACCTGCCTGTGATAATTTCTGTGTAGGTGTGCTGACATAGGCTGCTAAGTAAAAGTGAGCTTTTGCCCCACTAACCTGTTGCCCCACTGGAATGGAGTTTCTGCTCAATATTCCTACATGAGGAAGGGTCCATAAAGTGATTATAGTAGCTGGGAATGATGGGTCCTTGCAGGGCATCCAGTTGGGAAAATTGCAGTTTGTTTTCCCTGATGGTTTTTGTTTTTCTGTCTGCAATGCAACCTCCACAAGCCTCATGTCACACATATGTGTCGTATAACAGCTCCCATTACTTTTTAATATCAAGATGGTAGCAGAAAGGTACCAAGTTGAGAAAGACTGACCAAGTGAATACAGTCTTGAAATCTTCTGGATCAATACCGTATCACACACTTAGATATCAGTAAACAAAGGTTCTCTTTCCTCCCAAATATCTAATTTATATAGAGTTGTACTGCAGACAGCACAAGATGGTTCGGATTGATTTTTTTTTCTTCAGATTTTCATTCCAGCAGTTTCAAGGGATGATTTAGCAACCTACTTTCAAGTTTTGTTGCTGTATACACACATTAATTGCTGATGAAACTGTGGTTAATCATAGATCTTTAACTTTGTGCAGGATACTGGCCCATCTGGTTTCAGCCATCTGGTTTTGCTGCTGAATAGTCTCCATTCATTTCATTCAGTTAGGTTCAAGCTCCCATAGCAACACTTTTTAGGCAATAATGCTTGTCCTTACTCTCATCTTTTCAAAAACAACTTTTTAAAAACCTTACATGTTTTAATAACTGCTTTCTAAGTATTTTAAAAGGAAAGTGGAAAATATTTTTAAAGCCAAGTCAGCCATAATTGTAGGTATTATTTTGTATGGCTGACACTTAAAATTGCCGGCAAAGCAGCTATTTGAGGTTTCAAGGGACAGTGTCATATTTCAAGTAATAGTATGCTTTCATTTCTTATTAACGCTTTGTTATTTGCTTCATATTTGGTGTTTTTAAATTTCTTGCTCTCTAAGAAAGCGGATTAGCGGATGCTACTTATCACTGATGTGTGATATGCTGTTATTTCCCATTTTCTATTTTTCCTGTAACATGGATTATTTTTTGGACTTGTTAGAAATGCTTTCTGTTTACTGAACAATTATGCTACAAATGATGCTCTGCATCCCAAACCAATTTATAATTATCTTCCTTTTATCTACTTCAGATGTTTATGCAGCTTAGCTTTTTTTTGTATGGTATAGCACTGGGACCTGGGCTAGACAAATAATTTAGCAATTTATGAGTGAGATTATCTATTCTTACATTTTGAGAATAGGATGGAACAATTCAGCTGCTTCTGGATCTCAAGGTTTCTTTACCTGGGACTCAAACTCCTGAATTTCCTGCTGTGGCACAGCTGTTCTTCAAAATTGAGGTCTAATACATTTTCGAAATATTAGAATGGAAGTGGCTACTGGTGCTGGGGATCCTAAAACACAACATGGCCTCACTATTGTTGATGTATTAAACATTATTTCTGAAGCACATTTCATTATGAAGAATTCTACAAAGAGGAGACTAATGCATTTTCTTACAAGAGGCATATATTAGTTGATCCAGCCATTAGGCAGTCTCTGCTCTAGAAAAATAAGATTATGGAATACTGTTCACTATAAATTTCTATTGGGAATACTTTCTACCTATCACAAGCCATCTCTTACCCGATACATAATAGAACAGGTATGCCTAACCCATGACATTTATTGCTGTGAATAGTTCCATTGCTTTAATGAGATTTGTTGTGTTTTCAATGAGCCAATTTTATGTAGTGGTTAAGGCACCAGGCTGGAAACGAGGAGATTGTGAGTTCTACTCCCACCTTGGCATGAAAGCTAGCTAGGCGGCTTTGGGCCAACCATTCTCTTGAGTCCAATCCACCCCACAGGGAGGTTGTTGTGGAGAAAATAGGAGACACGAGTACTGGCTATGTTTGTCACCTTGAGTTACTTATAAAATCAAGGCGAGGTAAAAATTAATAACTTTATGTCCAGTTATAATATATACTTCAATGGTTGTTAAAGAGTAATAGCAATTCAATCTGGAGGCATTTCAAGTCCTTCCGCATTCGGAGCACCTCGCTTTCAATACTTTGTAATCACAATATTTTGTAATACTTTATAAAGTAGGAGGCATTTGCAGAACGTGAGGTTTTTTGTTTCAATTACTATTCTTCAGCTATTTTTCTAGACCTAGATGATTCATTTGCCTTTTTACCTAGATATTCAGGGCAAAATAGGAGAAACCATCATTCCTCGAGAGAGTGCGTGTTTGGCTGGCAAGCATGTGGGTGAGAAGAGTAGCACAGCTATTCTTATTTTCAGGTGTGTAAGTAATGCTAACACCTTTGCATTACTTTATTTATTTTTGTTACATTTTCCCATGTTATCTGCTCCATCTTTTGAATGCAAACCACAAGATCTTCCAATTCACCATTTGCCTATTTTTTATTATTATTATTAAGTTTTGGGGGAAAATCTCTGTTCTATTTTAAAAGAGTGGTTTATAAATCACGGCATATTCTCATATTCAGAAATGTTATGCTATTACAACAAAACTCCCAAAGTATTGTGCAAAAACTTTAAAAGATAAGGCCGCCTCTGAATGCCATGTCGTATGACAGTCACAATCATGATCCAGGAATTGTTTCACCAACACTAATGCTTTGTGTTGCCTCTAGCCTAAAATGCAAAAAACAACCAATTCCTGGTGGTTTTTAAATGTTTTATTTCAGTGAACACAGTCCAATTTCAAACATTAAAAGGCAGCAGTTCAACCATTTTAATACAAGTGGTGCACAAAATCCCTAGCATAAATAAATCTTTCACTGGTCTTGCAAAATAATTTAATATTTCTTAGAAGAAAAACTGAAGAAATGGGCATGTTGAAACCAAAGAGAATAGTTGCTAGAGTAAACGAACCCTTTTTGGTCTCAAACGTGAAAGGTATTTAAAACAGAAACTAGGAGTTTCCTTTCTGACAATGCCAACTAAGCCCACTTGGTGGCTTCTGAAAGGAACTCTGCCACACTTGATTTCACAACCGTCTTGCAGAACTCTTAACTTCCTCTGGGGAGTTCTTATTGCTCCCTCAACATGGCTTCTGCTTTGAGTCCATCATTGGCCAACCGTGCTGTCAAACATCCTTCAGTTTCACACAATGTGCAGTTCAACCTCAGCCCACTGACTTGACCTCAATTACTGTAATCCTTGTGTCAGGCTGGGAAATTACTTCCTGAGCAAATAACTAAAGTATCTTGAAACTTCAGTGCAATTTTTCTCTATTCAGTTCAGTCTTATTTGCCTGCTGTCACCGTTCAGGCAGATTAATAACGGGGACCCACTGATCCATGTAGCGGCTTTCACGGCAAAAGCAGATCAGCTGACTTAGGGCTGGATCCTTCCATTGAGAAGCATGTGGATTCTGCAAGAGAAAATGAGACAGAAAATATTCACTGTCAGCACAAAGTAAAATGCTGCTGACAATAAAAGGATCTATATATAAAAGACACAAAATGCTGTAGACAAAGACTGTAATGCAACATTTATTACTGGGGGAAAGTTCAATTTAATACTTTCAACTGATTTATATAAAAACAGAGCTGCTTTAGTGATTTGGGGGAAAATATATAAACTTTTGTTTAAAATATCCAGGAGTTCACCCTAATAGAGTTCTCTCCCTCCCCCTCCAATAACTAGCAAAAGAGCTCTCTAATATAAAAAATAGATTTAAAAAAAACTGTCTGCAGTATGGTTTGAATAAAAAAATAAGCAATCAGTATTTTATTCACAAGCTAAGCATACTTCACAATTACAAAAAATCATTTGCCTTTGCATGAACAGCCAAGAAACTGTATAAAGTATATTTGCAGTTCATGTCAAATAATGGATTGACCGACAGAAATATTGACTGAATTCCCTTATTGTAACTTGAATGAAAAAAAAAAATATTGTAAACCTACTTCTTAAA